ACGATCTGGGGTTTACGCAGGAACACTTATAAATCAAACAATTATGTTTGATTTTTAATCATTATTTAAAAATAATGATTGGTCGGGTAAAGAGTAGTTCTTCATATACAATTTGCTATTTTTACGACTAAATCACGAGAAAGTAATGTCTTATAACTGACTAGCGCACAAAACTCGGAATGAGGGATAAGGAAGTGTTTATAAAGCTTTTGGTATGCAATCTGTAAGGGTTTTGATTCAAATCTGGGTAAAAAAAGGCTTAAGACGTTTACATTTTTCTCAGACGTTTAGTAACCAATGCAAACCATAATTCTGTCCTAAAAATTTCAAGGCGACTTTTGAAATGATGATTTGATAAAATGATTAAATAATTATTTCTTTACATTTAAAGGCGTAATATTCATCTATTGCAAATACCTGGCATGTTTCTTTTAATATTTGCATGGAAATTGTACTCTTTGAAAATATTGGATCCGACTTCGATTACATATATATTTTCCTGCTGTAACAGGATTGTTAAGATAAATAAAAGCTGAGATGTAAAACATCCAATTACCCTCTAAGGAAAGGAGTGCAATTCTTAATATAAATTGGTTTAGACATATATAGATTTCGGGTCAAAAAACCGCTTTTCAAAAATTTAATAGAATGACGTGGCGATATTGGTTGATCTTTCTTTCGCAGAGTCTCCGCGGGTAGGAGTCGGAGGTTAGTTGTGGAGACTGGAGCGAGCTTAAAGCGTGGCAGCTAAGGGGCGTGAGAGAAGTTGTTGTTAAATTTGAGCTCGAACTTGTAAAACGAAATATTTACGAGCATTTATCTATTTTTATGTAGATTGGCAATCATAGTATTTTTATAATAATTAACTTAATTTTCATTTTTTTTACCCATTTTTGAACAATCTTGATATCTTGTATTTCTTTTTCTCCTCTATCGACTTGTTCTCTTTCCTGTTGTTTTAAATGTCATGTGTTACTGTGTTGTGTACGCTAGTATCCATCTATATTTCTTGCGGCTTGCGGGTATGGAGTAATATATCTTTATTTATTGCCGAGGGGTACTTTCAAGACTATCAGGAACCATGTAAGTTGCATAGAAAGCAATACATGAGCGCGTGTAGAAATGGAATTTCTCTTCGAGTGTTTAACTCCATAGCTCATGAATGAGCGCAGCGAGAAGAGAAATTCCATATCTACAAGCAACCATGTATTATTTTGTTTATCATATAAACACAATAGCCCTTTCCGGCGAAGAAAAGCCGACTTTATTAATTAATGAAAATAAATGAATTGACAATCCCCGAATAACAATCATAGAGTGCGTGGCGTTAACTCTTAAGATGGAAAAATGCGTTGAATCATGATTACAAAAACAACAATGGTCGTAATTTTCAATGTACAAAATTCTCATTTATTGACTTCGTCCTTACCGAAAGAAGAATTCTTTCAAGTAAACGACCAAAATCGGTCAGTGACAAATCTTCCAGTTATCGATGTTCATTCTCAACCGAGAGAAATGCTAACACCAAAGCCACTGAATACGTAACTTACGGTTTTTCTGTCAGTATATTGGTTATCTTCCCCTTCTAGCAAAGTTTGGACCTCACTGTCTGTCAGCCAAACGGATTTTTTAGTGTTTTAGCTGCCATAATTCGAGGAAGCTCTGAAAAACAACTTGTATTGAGAATCGTGAAGACTTTGCCGTTCATTCATCAACCTGGCACCAAAGGCGAGTGACGTGTCAGCGGCTGATTGGCTATATGTATAACACCGCAGTTTATGTGATAATATAATTTATAAATCACCTCGTTTGTTTTTACTATTTCTAAAAGGGTGATTTTTCGTCTTGTCTCAAACTTTAAACAAAGAGAAAAATGTTTGAAATGTTCCCATATTTATCTTTTATTTAATGTTTGTTACATCTATTTTGAACAGATTTGTAAGGATCGTCCACTTAAAGACTGCCAGAAAGTTTCGAAGAGGTAAAACCGCCTTGGCGATATTATATGATCATGATAAATGCACAAAACAGACGTCGGCCCGTCTTCTGATTTTACCTCGCAAAATAAGGTTTCGTTTGCGATATGATATGTTTATTCAAGGAAAGATACTTCCCCAATACGATCAAGATAACCAAGTGTTTTGACTGATGATCTTGAGCTATTATAAGAATGAAAACTTGGCAAGGGAGAGCAAAAAAGGTTTCTTTTACCGTAAAGGTGAAGTGAAGATGAGCACTTACCGACTTAGAGAGGCCTATACACCCGTATGATATGGAGACCATGCGCTTCTAGTTCCTGTTGAAAAATTATGTAATACACCTTAAAGCTGTAGTAGAGAGCCAGCGTCGAGGTAGACCTCGCCATGAACAGATTTCTTCTTATAGCTGTGTTCGGATCGGTTTTAACTATAAGCTTGGCAGAATATTTTGTTAATTATGAAGATGAAGAAAACAAAGAGGCGGTGGAGGAAACTGTGAGAGACTTCGCGTAATTGATCAAGATGACTACTTTTAAGAACTCTAATAGATTGAGAAAATTGTATTTGGTTATTTTTTGGGCGGATCTATGAACAAAGACAACATCTAACACAAGAACGCTTGGATTTTATTCCAACTCAACTTTGACACACAATTGGTTACAGAGAGTTCTTGGGCATTAACAATGCAAAACAAATGTTTCAGATCATTTGACAGTGCTTCTGATTCTCAACGAGTGCTCAACAGTTCCTTCGCGAAATAAATATCTAAACAGTTACTCGTTCCCTTTTGCTTTTAACAGAATGACAGGGACTATCAAAGGTGGCCCAGTTTTAAGACTGATGGGAACTTTAGCTACATAAAACTATCCAAGCAATAATGTTCACGATGGAGTAATTTTACGAAGTTAAATTTTATAGTACATGAACCGTACGAAAGTACATCAAAGGGGCCTTGATTTGAATGTCAATAAAGCACTAAGTTTCGCATTTTTTACATGTAACTTTTTGATCATTATTATACTGCAAAAACTGTTTAGTGATCTAATATTTCTTGTCTTGGCTACAGAAATCAAATTGCAGGTTCAAAATAAATTCACATGAGAAGTCATTGAACAAAATTTTGAATGTCTGACGAAATAGAGGAAGTCGGGGAAGTTTTTCGAGCGCAGTTCATGCGCGGTTCATGCTAATGCATCATCGGCCCAGCTATTTGATGGTTCTTGCATCATTATTCGACATACTTTCCCAAGTGAGAGAAAGACT